ATTCCTGGCTTGGAGGGCAGGCGTCAACACTTTTGATTTCTATGTTCTTCACTGCCTTCTCCCTGTGCTGCTGGTGGCTGATCTGTGGGGATTTCTTGCTGGCTGGGCTGGCAGCTGGGAGCTCAGGGTTTTCTTCAAACTCTTTGGTATAACCCCCACTCCTGAGCCCTGGGCCAGGGCCCCCTACACAACTCAGCTGTCTCTCCTCTTCTTCCCAGTCAATGTCAGTTCGCAGGCTCCCCACGGCAGCTCCGCTGACAGATGGAAAACTTTTCCTCTCTCCAAAGCCATGACTGCTCTCTACAGCCTTGGGTTCATACTCATGGAAACTGTCCAGGTCACACGGATGTAAAGGCACAGGCGACGTGAAGGACTTGTGCCACTCTCTCGGGGACCTCTTGGCAATTTTGGGGGACACAGCATGAAGCCTGGCAGAGGTGCCGAACATGAATGGCAGGGATGAGACATCTGTGGGACTAATGGCTGATGACTCTGAGCAGTAGGAGAAAGCGCTGTCTAAGGAGCTGAGTGAGGAGGCAGACGGGGAGGTGGTGGTAGAGGACAGGCTAGAGAAGCTGGACCTGTTTGACAGGCTGGATTTCTGAAGGCTGAGCTTCTTCACCCTAGAGCTGGTCTGAGGCGACTGCCACAAGTTCTGCCTGGCCTTATTAACCCCAGGGCTTAGGCCTTCATCTATCAGCTTCTGGCTCTCCACCTGCAGCTGCTTGAGCCTGTGGATGTAGTCCGTATGGCTGTGCATGATGGTGGCATCGCAGCTGGACTGGCGGGCCACCGGCTCATGGCTCTGAGCAGGAACCTGGGAGCTGAGGCAGACACTGGGCTCTGATGAGCACCGGTCCCTGGCCGGGCTGAGTGAGCGTATTGAGCCGATGGAGCAGAAGGAGCCCTCCTCTTCCAGGAGGTCATAGCTGTCTGCACTGGTGTTCGTCTGGGCTTTGCTTTGGTAGCAGGCTGTGATCTCACTGAACAAGTCCCAGTCTTCCTGTTCCTCATCGAGTAACAAGCTGCTGGACGGTTCAAAAATGGCATCTGTTTCAGGTACCAGGTGGTGCTTTGGTCCTTCTGGGTCACAAGCAGAAAATTCCAGCTCATCAGAGGAATCATCATGCTGAGCCAAGCCTATGCCTGCAGCAGAGAACACAAATTAATTTGTTGCCTATGTCTCCTAACCCCATATAGTACCAAGGCGGGGAAATATTATCAAGTCCATGGAAAAGCAAAGATGATCCATTATTTTCACAGGGACCAGAGCAGGGCTGGGAACAATATAAAAAATTCTGGCTTGATGACCTGAACTTTCACCACTGGCCTGTATTCATAGGATAGTTAACAGAGACAACTCGATCCCTTTCCATTCAACCATTTGGTTTAGCTTTACAGAACTAATTGGGAAGAAAAGCTGCTGGGACATGGCATTGCTAAGGCTACACTAAATTCTGGTAATGGCTGGCACAGTTTGAACAGCAGCCACAGAGCAAGACAACCATCCCCAGGGACACATTTGAAGCGATGCACCTCAGCCCTCTGCTTTGCCCTGACAGGCAAAGGGAAAACCAAACCCAACTGTTTTTCAAGGCTTTTCCATGGAAGAGACAAGACGGGAAAGCAAACTCTTTTGCATGAGGAGTTTACCTATTAAAAGATTTCAAACATTTCTGGAAGACACAGTACCGCCAACTTACCCAGAGATTCCTCTGAGGTTTTGGACTTCTTTTTGTCTGGTCTTTGAAACAAGGAAGCAATGTCACCTCCAAAAATCTCTCCTGAGTTTTCAATCAGAAACTGCACTAGCAAGGCCACCTGGCAAAGACATGAATTTACAGAGTCAGTTTCATGAAAATATGGCCGGCTACATAAAGCAAATCAAATCAGTTCCAGAATGTTCCTTTTCCTTTGACAAAGATGTAATTTCCTACAGAACCTTTTGCTCAAGAAGCTGTCAAGAATGTGGCAATGCGTCTGTATGAGCTACACTTGAGGCATGAGCTACATGAACTGGTACCGTGAGCCAGGTACAGCATGTTCTACAATTTTCCACACTATTGATAACACCCTATAAGCTACACGCGAGCACTCCTCCCCTCTGATGCACGGTCATCTTCATTGCTTACTTTGTTTCTGCAAGATGGGTTTAGACCCAGCTGAAGCGGCAGTGTCTAATTTCAGCCGCTCCATCATTTTTGTGCTTGCTTGACCATATACAAAGTTCATCTGGCAAAGCAACTAGAGCTTCCCTTTCCACCCTGGACAAATTGAGTGGCTAAATTCCCCTACCGGCACGGGCACAGTTGCACAGGTGAAAGGACAGCGCCTGGATGCCACTCAGCCAGCACTGCCACTGATCCTGTGCCTTCCTTTAGTCTACAAAATACAGTGCCCATAAAAAGCAGCTAACAGGGAAGACAAGCATGAGGCCAAACCCATGAAAGACTACCTTCTTTGTAGACCTGCTCTCCTCTTCAGGCCCAGTGGGACTTGGTAGCCACAGCATATTGGGTGCTATGCAAAGAGCCAGGTTAAAGGCATTCATCTGATTCACGCCGGAATTCTGCTCAATATGATGGAGGACTCCAAAGAGGTGTCTGAGTAAGATGAGGTTGGCCTCTGGAAGCTGGTTGACTAGGCTATTCAGGGAGTGGGAACAAAGGAAAACAGTGCTGTTCACAAAAATCTGCTCTTCAAATATCAGAAGTTGCTTCCCAAAGCTTTTTCCCCCGTCTGCCCTTTTGCAACCAGGTTGAGACATTCACATTTGATAATAAAGTAAGACTGTGTCACTCGCCTCCACCAACTTATATGAGAGCCACAACTTTATATCCATATTACCTACCCACTCTGGTCACAGAGCTGGAGGAAACCAAGGGACTTACGTCCAGAATATGTAGGTAGAAGTCCATAATGCCTTAACAAAACAATGATTGCCCAAAGGAGATGCATACAGTTCCAGGCCAGCAGCACATGAGACAATGCCACTGCCTGTGTCCCATGCTATAGAGACAATGGAGGAAGGAGGCCCAGGCCAAATCATAAGGTTCAAAAACTGAGCTGAGGCATTGAGAAGAAGAGGTTTGGTATAGTGCATATCCCACAGGATGCTGATAGACTATTCTTGCTCCGGGCAGCAGTTTCAAGGCAGTAAAGCTGTTTTCAAGGTCCCAGGCATCATCTCGGCAGGGCTATTTCTTCTAACTGCCAATATGATGATCAGCTTCATTTTGTGCACATAAGAAAAAAGTTACCATTGTTAAAGATCTAATTGCACTAACAGCTGATGTACTCCTGGCGGCTGAATGATTGTGCTTTTTCAGTTTGCTGGTTCTGGTAATTTGAACTGGTCATCAGAAAAGAATTTTCTAATGATATTTTTGAGGGTCAGAAATGTTAACAATGTTCATAAAAGACCATTGAAAAGAAAATGTTCTGACCAGTGACACTGGCAAGCAGCAATAGCCCTACTGTGGCCTGGAGCACTGCCAGCAGTCTCCCAGAAGATGAAGTCTATGCTTAGGGCCGTATGCTCCCCCCCTTCTCCCACCAAAACAAGCTTTTACAAAGGCTTTTACAAACCTTTTGATAGCTTCAATCTTATGTGCCCGATTTTCCGTGTCCACAGCTTCCATCCACAGTCCGTGCATGTCTGAGGATAGAACACTGTCAGGTATATTTCGAAGAAAATCCTGAATTAAATATATATATGCAGAGCAGTCTGGTCAGTTTTGAATTCCTCATTTTGATTTCACGATTCATATAGTCATTTTTCATTCATATTAAGCACAAGATAAAACAAGACACGACACAAATACATTTCTCCTCCCCTCCCCACTTCCACCGAGCTGTCCTGCCCAAGGCTCTTCCCGTGCAGCACGGCAGCGGGTGAGCCGCCAGCCCTCGCGCCCTGCGCCTTCTCTAGACCGGGACTGACCTCTGCTGCAGCAGGCGAAGGACTCATCCCTAAGGCTGCGCGTAGTGCTGTTTGAAACATTTCTAAGCTATGAGGATTGCTGTGTTTTTTTTTTTTTCTCAGGGGACTATTTAATAATTTAATATATGTCTTGCATTGGAAAGTCCCTGAATATCCTCCCAGCCAGCAGCTTTCTGTATTAGGTCAAGAAGAGCAAGAGATGGGGATGGTTTTTTTATACTTTAGGTGCCTGAATTGTTCTGACCGGATTTAACTGCCAGCGCAAAAGATAGGCTTTTTCTTACTAAAACTTGGGTCTTATTGCAAGCTTCACCCTCCACCCACCACAACCCTTCTGCTTGGATTTCGCAGCTGTTTTCCCTCTTGCTTGCTGACAGATTAGGGGGTGAAGGCTTAGGGTCTAGCTGGTACAGGCCAGCTCCTTTGGGCATGGCCTCTCTGTTTAGGGGGGATGGAGAGCAGTTGCACTTAAATGGTGTGAGTCCTCCCATGTCTCCCTGCAGTCTCTTCTGTGTGTCCAGAAAGGACAAAGAGCATCTCTGCTGCTGCCACCAAAGGGCTTCATGTCTATGTCAGTGCAGCATCTGAACTGCTGAGTCCAGACTCTGGCATTTTTTTTGGCACTGTATACATACCATGGTTATCTTGGAGATAGACACTACTGTATCACCTGCTGGAGGCTGTTTTGTACAGGGAGGTGCAAAACGAAACACTGGCCTGAGGGTCACTGCACATCTCTGCATGTGTAAACAAGCACCACTGGGTCAGGCAGATACCTTATGCACATAGATGAACCAAGCTATCAGGTGAGAATGTGCCTTTCTGTTCCCCACATCTTCCCTACCCATAAAGACTTATGTTGCTTCCTTAAAGAGGGAAGGTACCATTAGCCCAGACAGCTGAGTTACTTGGCCAAACATACCGTGATGACAGCTGCAGCCACAAAGACTGACTCTCCATCCACCTGGACATCATCTCCAGAGTTCAGCTTCTCTTTCAACTCCTTGCAAGTCTTGGCATTGGCAGAACGTCTGAAAATGCCCCTAGTAGAGGGACCTTCATGGTACAGCAGGAGCAGCATATCCTAAGAGAAAGCCCAGTTATACTTAACAGCCTAACACTTTACCCTATTGTTTGTGTATATTATACCTCATGTATTATAACATAACTAGCGTAAGACCTAGTCAATACCAGGAAAAGGACAGACATACAAGAGATTTATCATGATTTAAGCAGGGACAAGAGCCTGTCAGCTAAGTTCCAGGTAGAGCTCTTGTGGGTTCGCTTATCCTGTAGCAAGTGTGAGCCCAATGGACTCTTGTAGTGAATGAGGTCTAGGCTATGTAGCATGGCATAGTCCATGGACATTGCCCCTTTTCAGCTTGTGATGACCTGGCTGGAGACACCCATTGAAACAGGATGGACATCTGTGCACGAAGTGATATGGATTACACAGGAGAAGGCTGCTCTCACCCTTGTTACTGAGCTAGATCTGAATCACGAGCAAATTATGGTCTTCTTCCCCATCCAATCCTCATCAATATCACAAGTGGCTTTAAAATCTGGGCTCAACACATCAAGTTTATGTCAGGATGAACAGTCCAGGCTGCTCCTTACCATGATTGGCTTGGGCAGGATCCCATCAGGACAGACAGAGGACAGAGACAGACCGAAGAGCTTCCGTGGGGTGGTAGGCGACTGCGAAGGAGGGCTGCCTGTAGGGGTGCTGGTGCTGCGGCGCAGGGCCCAGTCAATCAAGGACTTCTTCCTCTTGGTGAGTTTCTGCAGGGACTCTGAAAAAAAACACAGACCTTTGTTACACAACTGTCTGTCCTTCCTACTGGCCAGTGAGTGTTCTACAGCGGAGGCAGAGTTTCCAGCAAAGAAAGGACTTTCTATAATCACGTGTTTAATATCTACACTCTTAATGGGGACAGTCAGATAATACACAGCAGTGAAACCACTTGTTCATCTCTCAACCACCAGCAAAACTCTCATTCAATCACTGTTCTTCAGGGAACCTTGCAGTCTGTGCAATGTAAGAATGGCTTGCAACTGAAAGCTAATCAAGGACTGAAAGCTAATTCTGAACATTTGCACAGGCAAATTTAGCCCCTCTGCAATCTCTTCCTCTTTGCATATGACTCTGGCATACGTGTACGATGTTAGGAAGACTCTGGCACTGCCACGGAAAGCAGCAAAGTCTCTGCCTGGTTGTAACACACTCCTGCAGCCCCTACCTCTCCTCAGCTGCATTGGAGCTTGGAGCCTGGGTTTCAGGACAAACTGACACTGTTTCTCCTTTGGGAGTTGATCAAGGAAGGAAGCCTCTGTCCCATCAGCCAGGAGGGTGTTATTGTTGATTCCTTGTTGATGATCAGCAGAGTCCCGAAGACAGTTCAATGCGATGCTGAAAGGATGCTCGTGCCCTGTTGAGCAAAGAGTTGTGTAAAGATGGAGAGCTATGTGAAAACAGCTCCAAATCTGGGCAGGAGGAAGCAGCCACATCCAATGGCTCCCACTGCAGCTGGGCCTCTAAGCAACGTTGCTCCAAACCTCCACCTGTGGACTAAAGAGGCCAGGGCACATCTACGCATATACATGACCACTGCTTTACAAATAAGTTCATCCAGTTAAACCTGGCCAGCCCCTCTTCATTAGCAGTTCTCCAGAACATTATGCAACAAAGCGCTATTAACTGGGTTTAAGCCCTTATTAATAGGCTTATGGGTCCCACTGCACTAACAAAATACTGTAAGCTTTGCTCTAGGTAGGAGCTAGCTTATTATGACAGTCTAGTATGTACTGGACGAACACAAAAAGTAAGCATGTGCCACCAATAAACATCTGCAGTCTAAAGATCCCCAGAATAATAGTCTTACTATGACAACATGGTCTTTGGAGCAAGATCTCTTTAATAAACCAACGTGCATAAACTTCCTTGGAGAGCCTGGGGATGTAATTATTGGGTTATCACTGCAAACACAATGCAGAGTTAATGCACAGATTACTTGTTCGGCATAACTAAGCAGTATGCTATAGGGCAAAACAGTCTGGGCGATGGCTGCACCATTGACATGTGTGTGAGAGAAGCAAGCTGCAGTTTAAATGCATCAAGCAGCTTTGGTTTAGATGGTGGGTAAATCAGCATATTTCCTTGCTTCCTCTGTGGCAGATTGTACATTTAATCTTATATTTTGCTGGCTTGTTTTTGCCAATAATCCACAAATAAAAACTGTTATTATTATTATTGGAAAATTCCAGCTTTGGTGATCGCCATGATGAATGCTTAGCACTTAAGAGACAAAATTCAGTGGTTTATTTTAAAACGTTCCTTGTATTTCTGAAATCATCTCCTACAGATCTCCAGTACTCTCCTCCATTGTGATTATCCTCAAATCCCTCTACATACACACCTACTTTGCCTCGAGCCTCAGGAGTTTCTAAAACCTAAACACAAACTGCTAAAAAGGAAAGTTTTCAAATAAACAGCTTGCAAAGGGCATTGCCTCAAGCGGCCCACGTGTGCTTGTGAGATCAGATCAGTATTGCAGTCAGTTGGCAATTCAGAAGGCAACGTTAAGGAGCCATATGCAACAAACTGGGCTTTTTAATATGACACCGCATCTTCTGTGGAAAACAGCTTCCTTAGTTGTGAACTGAAATGCAACGTAAACTAAATAAATACCAAAAAAGTAGGATAAACATGTTAGCTTCTGAACTAGATGCTTAAAAGTCATCAGTGGATCCATCTAAAAACTCGGCTTCTTTCAGCTGGCAAAATGCTCTCCTCTGGACCTAGCATGTTCTTGCTGAATGACCACCTAACTGCAGCGACTTGTTTTGCTTCTGATGGCGCCTGAAGGCAAAGTGCTCAGGAGGTATCGGGAGCTGCTCTGTCTCATGGTCACCAGTGGACGTCTCTATCACAGGAAGCAAAGGTGGGCTAAGGCCTGTGAGGAGAAGTCTGCAAAGCTAAGCAGGAGAGGAGAGGATGACCACCCTCCAAGCATGTAGCCCTGCGAGATCATACCAGCAGCCACGGGGACAGGACTGGGCTTTGAGGCATGTCCTACCCTCGCATCACACCCACTGCATAGAAAGAACTTTAGGCCAGCCTAAAAATCTCCTGTTTATTTGCAGCATCTGCTGAAAAGTGTCATGGGCTCCCATCCAGAAATGCACAGATTTGCTTGGAAAAGGGAGGTAAGCATGAAGATCTTCAAAGATGTCACCATGCGTTGATTAAATGTGGATCCTGAGACCATAAAAGCCAAGTGACATCTCACATCAGCTTGATCTCACATCTCACATCAGTAACAGTCCTCCTACCGTTACTTTTTTAAGTGAAGAGTGCAATGTTTGAGATGTTTCTGTGCCACACACATCGGTATCATTTGTTACTTGTTCCTGTGGTGCTAGAATTGAGGGAAAATAGGAGAGCACTTACCAATGAGAGGGTAAGCGGGGTCATCTTTTCCTGAGATCACCCACAGGTGGTGTTCACTTGTCCTGCCCTAGCGGTTGAGGAACAGAGAAGAGAAAAATATTAGGTGAAGGAGGCCAGGGTGAGGGTCCGTGAGGTTGCACTTCACCCATACAGAGCGCAACAAATGGCTGAACAGGCCAAGGAGCCAGACAGGCAGGGCTGCCTCCAGGACAGCTCCAGCCAGTAGGATGTAAACCCACATGATGGTTTCCTGGACTATTTTAGCACTATGTTCCGCAACCTTCCTTGGTATTTAACTACTGGAACACTGTGAAAGCTACCTGTTAAACACTGTAATGGGAAAGGCTGGACCACTGCAACGGGCAAGGCTCATCTGACAACATCACTGATTTGATCAGTATTTCATGGCTATATTAGTAATCCTTTGACAAGCTTGGCTCAATCCTAATGTTGGATTGCAAGCACTGAAGTCCTCTGAAATCCAAAGGACTTTATTATACACGGTTTGAATTTAATATAGACATGTAAGCATGTCTGTGTTTCCAATACTTGGCACCCACACAAATACATTGCTTCATCTTGTAGTCCAGAGAGTATGAATGCCTTACTACAATATAGTACATACTACTTAGCTACAGCAAATGTAGACTTCTCCACATCTGCACTGTCCTGTAAATCAGATGTTGCTGGCTTCCTTAGCTACAATCCAGCAGACTACGCAACTGCCACTTACAGGAAGCCCAAGCTGAAGAAGGGTCTTCTTCATCACACTCTCTGCAGTTTCCACATTGGACACATTGACTGTGGTAGTCTAGAATGGAAAACAGAGGAAATATGGGAAGCTAATAAGAAGGCATGAAGTTTTGTTGCAGTCTCTTGTAGCTTGAAAATCTGGGGAAAATGTCACTCATCTGTCTACTGACCGTCTTTACTAAATGGTCATGGTTAGAAGAGTTGTACTAATTTGAACTACACTAGAATCATTGTTAAGGGTGATGGCTATACATTATGAAAACTGTTCTCCACTACTTCTTGTATCACGAATTTATTATACCATCCAAAGATTTTGCCCAGTAGAAACCACAGGAAGTGGTTGGTGTTCAGATGCTGTATTTGATTACATCAGTATTTGACTGACAGTAGTGCCACTGTCACTCCAAAGGGTGAACGCAGCACAACACTAATAAAGAACAAAACTCTGGGGTTGCTTGCTGAGGGACGAGTCCCCAGGAGGTAAATGTGACCCACCAAGCTTGGCATGAAGCCTAGAAAAGTATGATGTTAATATGAAGAGACTGGGACACACTCCAGTAAATCAATTCAGGAGAACACACCAGTGACTCTTTCATGGTCAACATCCTCAGCTTATTGCACTGAAAATAGGAATGACTGGGCACTCAACCACAAACCATCACCAACTATGAAGTGAAGCACAAGGAAAAGAGAGAAGAAGCCAGAGGCCAAGATTAATCTTAAGAATTAACTGCTGCTTGGTAAGGGTCTGGCTACCTCCTGATTTTCCAATCCAAAACTCTCCGAGTGGGCTTCCAGTGGGAAAGATGCAGCTGCCCAGATGCATACCCTCTAAAACCTTTTCAGGTGCGACTTGAATTTTAAACAGGGATAGCAGCAGCAGTAGCACAGCCCTGTCTTCCCGCCCCTGCCCCACAGACCTCCATGTAGCGTTGGTCTGATGAGCAGGTTCTTAGCTTTACTTACAGAAGAACAGTTGTCAGCATCCAGCACCAAGATCTGAAGGGTTAGATTCTTCAGACACTCATTCTGTTTTGCCTCGTTGATATGCCTGAAAGTCAAAGAAAAGGGGAGGGAATATATTTTCCCAGTCAAACTTGAGAAGGACCCTAAGATTTGGATCCAAGAGGTCCAAGGGACCAGCTCCTTGGTACTGTAATAAATACAGCTTAATTACGACAGTAACAATAACACGCAATGTTCATAGTGTGGTCACATGCTCTTACTGGCTTCTTTCTCTTTCCTGAGGCCCCAGACTAGCAAAACCCCACACGGCAGTACTTTAATGCAGAGAGATGTGTCTAGCATAACACCTTCCAGCAGCCTTAGGATCATTACTGTTCTCCGCAAACCAAGAGACGCCTTCCCCTCTCTGTACCTATATAAACACTTCTGCCTGGATGTTAGTGGAAACAACATATAAAAACGTAACATGAAAAAGAAACAACTGTAGCCTCTAGATGCCACAAAATACAAACTTTGTTTCGAATCAAAAAACATCTGAAGACTCAGTAACACCTGTGACACTTCCATAGTGATTAGCAAAGTCAACCTCCAGCTCCAAAGGAAAAAAGGTGCTCCAACAATGTTATCTGCTAGGGAATTTCATCTTTTCTGGACTGTTAATGCCAATTTTACTTTCACCCAGGGGCTTCGACATTCAGGTTTCAAAGGTGGATTTTTTAAACAGTAGCTAGACACTTAATGTGCTGAAAATCAGAGGGCAATTGACACCCAGCAGGACAAATTTCTCTGAGTACTGTAGAGGAACCAGCCGGGAGGGGGATGAAAGGAGGGTCACTTACCACAGCAATGCTGACAGCCATCGTTCCTTCACATCAGCTGAGCTGAAGATAAAAAGGGAGGCAGATCATCAAACAAGTGCTGAGTGGGTAACAGCCTTTGGAAACTCTACCCAGTTTCATTTATATATAGCTGTAAGTCAAAGTTCCTTCCTGCAAAGCCCTGGAACAAAAGCACAGGCCTTTCCTGCTTCTGTCCTATTTTAACAAATAATAAAAATAATAATAACAAAAAAATCCCAGCAACAAACTGGACTACATTTCCTGCCCAGGCTGGCGAGTGTTCAGAGAAGGGACAAATACATTTCTGTGGTGTTGGCGTTAACTCATCTCGTGGACCCTTATTATTTTTGCAGTGACCTTTAATTGCTATTTTCTTTCTCCTATTATTTCCTTCCCAATGACTGCCATTCCTAGAAGCTTCTGCTGCCAGTACGGGTTACTCGAGCCTTGGTGACGTGAAGGAAATGGAACTGCTGTTGAATTTGGACTAAGACAACAAACAACAGCTTGCACGTCAGAGCATGAATCCTAATCAGGAATGCATCACCCGGGAGAGACAACCCTGACCCTTGGACATGATGAGACAGCAGGTATGAAACCGTGGTATGGTTCCCATTTCTTTTTCCACCAAGGCAGCTTCCCCACAGAAAAAAACCATCAGGCCAGATCAGCCCTTCCTAGCTGTGCCAGCAGAACCCGAGGACAGGGTGACCCTTGAAGACTGCTGACCTCTCCGCTTTGCAAAAGAGAGTATGAAGAAGCGATGCCTGAGCCAGCAGTGACCTGAGCTCCCTGTGGATATACCAGTTCTAGATTCAATTTAGCCAGGCTAGACTGAGCTCCAGGGAACAAAAAGCTCACCTGCTTTTTGGTGAGCCTTACTAGCTCAGGCACAGCATTGGGAGAGCCTTTGAGATGGCATTTGGACATGAATGGGCTACTCTCTAGCTTTCTCCATGCTTCCCTGCGTTTCTATTTCTGGTGTTAGCAAGAGCTAAGGAAGCTCTGGACCGTGCTGTTTGTGCAGATCCATCTTGAAGAACCTTCTCATTTTTATAGTCTGTTGCTGTGGGCTTGGGACATCCTGGCAGACAACTGCAGCGGGAAGGTTTGTCCAGGAGCTGCCCATGCCACACTAGGGGTGGGTAAAGGATTTAATCCTGGCGCAAGGCTGTCTGGCATTTTTCATTGACATAACTAACCTGTCCTTCGTAATGAAAAATTCTCAAAGTAGGGCTAATCTCCTACAGAAACGGCTGCTGGCAGGTGCTGAAACAACACGCTTGTAGGTTATATGATGGCACAAGCTGGCTTACTATGGCAGATTTGGTTGTGTTGTTCCAGGATGCTCTGCAGCAGAGTTAGTCCTTGCTATAACAACATTTGCAAGGGTTGGTCCTCTGAACATGAGCC